TTAGGGGTTTACGGTTTTAGGGTTTTAGGGCTTTAGGATACTATAGGATTTAGGGTTAGTAGTGTCTAGGGCTCGGGGCTTGGAGCTGGGCTTAGAGCTTAGAAGTTGCGGCTAAGAGTTTAGGGTTAAGAACTTAGAAATTTAGGTTCAGGGTCTAGGGATAAAGGTGCCTTGTGGGGTTCTTTCAGAGGTTAGAGTTTAGGGTTTAGGGTTTAGGGTTTAGGATTAGGTTTTGGGGATGTTTAGAGGGTTCTATAGTGAATCATGGTAAGGATGTTGAAGGCTACTATAGGGGTGCTATAAGGGTAAGGGAAGGTGCTGGACGGCCATGCGGGTTCTAGGGTTCAGGTTTGAGGGGTTAGGGTTGAGGGTTTAGGTTTAGGGGGCACCTGCATTCGATGCCTGGTCGGATTAGGCCAGAGATCACTGACGGACTGGGCAGAGGAGATGAGGCCCGCAGCAGGAAAGAGGCGAAAGACAAAGAGCAACTGCGAACTTGGCCCCCTGCCGAGGCACGCTTCGAAGTTGGCCTTGGGCGCCGGCCGAGTGCTGCCGAGCATCGAAACTACAAAACCCTGCAGAATTCCCACGAAACCGTGTGGCACCCTGTAAAGGCCTGATGCAAACCCGGCACGGCCCTTACAGAACCCGGTAAAATTTGTATCAGAAGCCTTTCTTTATATAACAAAAACCATCAAGACCCTAAACCCGACATCCGCAACCCCCCTAAACTCCAAGCCCTAAACCCTAAACCCTAAGTCGTCATGGTGACGTGCGAGATGCGCCTTTGTCTAGCTCGGGAGGTGAAGGTGACGAATGTCTGTGAGGGGCACCAGTCTGCATGCTGTTCCTTTCAGGCGAAGCGGAGAAAGGGGGGAATATTGCATTTAACAACAACTCTAAACTCTAGACCCTAAACGCCAAACCCCAGACCCTCAACCCTCAACCCCAAGACCCTAAACCCTGAACCTTAAACCCTAAATCTTAGACCCTCAACCCTAAACCCCCCTCAACCCTGAACTCTAACCTTGAGACCCTCAGGTTTAGGGTTTAGGGTTTCGGGTTTAGGTTGCCCTCAACTTTAACTTTGACCCCTCAACCCTGAACCGTCAGCCCTCAAACCCTAAGCCCTGAACCCCGAACCCTTTGCCGTGAATAGAACCCTTATAGGTCTCTTATAGGAGCCCTTGTAGAGCCCTTTCAAAGGAACCCTACAAACCCTAATATAGGGGCCTTAATAATACCTCTGCTATTTTGGGGGTTCCTTATTGTAATTATAGTATAATATACCTCAAAACCCTTGCCTGATTGTTAAGGCCCCTCCTAAACCCTAAACCCTATGCCCCCAAACCCGAAAACCAAAACGCTAAACCCTAAGCCCTGAACCCTACGTCATAAACCCTAAACCCTAAAACGCTAAACCCCAAACCCTAAACCCTAAACCCTAAGCCCAAAACCCTCAACCTAAACCCAAAAACCTAAACCCAAAGCCCAAAAACCCTAAACCCAAAGCCTCAAAACCCTAAACCCTAAACCCTAAACCCTAAAACCCCACAAACCCCTAAACCCTAAAACCTTAAACCCTAAATCCCTAAAACCCAAGGCCCCTAAACCCTAAAACCCAAAGCCCCAACGCCCCCAAATCTTCAGGTCGCGGAAGGCTTGGACCTTCTATGCCTTGACGAGCTCGCCGTGACCAACGTGGCGGACGCCGCGGTGCCCCCGTGGGTTCCTTTAAAGGGACTGGGTGTAGGGTTTAGGTTTTAGGGTTTAGGGTTTATTTAGGGTTTAGGGTTTAGGGTTGAGGAATCCAGAAGGGCTCCCTTCAAGGATCTGTAGGGGTTCTATTCAGGGTTGAGGGTTTAGGGCATTGGTTTTAGGTTTTTGGGGGTTCGGGGTTTAAGTCTTAGGGCTACCTGTTCTGTAAACCCTAAGCCCTAAACCCAACACCCTGGCCCTAGCATATTCCAGGTACTGACGGAGCTTTTGCAGCTTCTAGCCGTCAGGCGAGGCTGTGCAGGGTTTGCGCTGCAGGGTTCAGGGATTGAGCTCCCTAAACCGGAAACTCTACACCTTAAACCTCTTAAAGTCCTAAAAAATCGAAATCCTCAGCCCTAAACCCCAACCCCAAACTTAACCGTTGTAGGAGCCAGGGCCGCGGGATTTTGAGTTGGGTTTAGTAGGGTCGAGGATGCCACCGAGGAAGTTATGATCAGAGTAGTTTTTCTTCAAACTGGGCGTCTTAGATCAAGACAACCCTGAACCCTAAACCCTAAACCCTCATGCAAATTGCGACCAAGAACATCTGCAAGTGCGAATGCAGCCTGTGCCAAGCACTGTATCTCCGGCTCTACCCTGTCCACACAAACCTCGACTTTAATGCCCGGTCCTGAAGCACACGACCCTAAACCCTAAACCCTAAACCCCTAAACCCCTAAACCCCTTAACCCCTAAACCCCTCAACCCTTAAACCCCTAAGTCTGAAGGCACGTGGCTGTAGTTTGCACAACCAACCGACCACCAGAGGACCTCTACAAGGCGCCTACCTTTGGGCTTCTTTACTAAGGGGTTTAGGGTTTAGGATTAGGGTTTAGGGTTTAGGGTTGAGGGTTTAGGGTTTAGGTTCAGGGTCAGGGTTTAGGGTTTGGGTTTAGGGTTGAGGGTTTAGGGTTTAGGTTCAGGGTTAGGGTTTAGGGTTTAGGGTTTGGGGGTTTGGGGGGTTTGGCGGTTAAGGGGTTTGGGTGTTTAGGGTTTAGAGTTGAGGGTTTAGTGGTCTACTTCCTATAAGGGTTCCGACAATAAGGGTTTCCTTTGAGGTGCTATATCATACTTCCTACAAGTAGGGGCTTTTGGGTTTTAGGGATCGGGCAAAGTAGGTTTTTAGTTTCCAGGCTGTAGGATGTTGGAGGCTAATATGGGGACCTCAATCCTGAGAATAGGCTCTGGGGGTCTGTTATACCGCAAAAATAACAAGAATAATGAGAATAAGGTTTGGGGGGTATTATATACCATAAACATAACAGGGAGTTTGGGGTATATTATACCATAAGAATAACAGGGAAACCACCCAACACAGGATTGGTAATGAGCTCCACCCCTGTTGTTTAGCTTCTGGGGCTGAGGAGTTCGGGGTGTTGCTATCATTTGAGGTTTCTAAGCTTAGCTCCCCAATACCCGACCTTTATAAACTTTCTGGGTTCTTCTAAGTAAGTAGTCATGAAATGTGTTTCCTTTCATTACCCTAAACCCTAAACCCTAAACGAGGTTTAGGGTTTAGGTTTTAGGGTTTAGGGCTTTAGGGGTTTAGGGTATAGGGTGCAGGGTTTAGGGTTTTGGGTTTAGGGTCAGCTCGCGTGCTTGGCGCATATGGGTGCCGTGTTTTGCAGGTCTTTTTTTGTTTTACAGGGCTATCGCAACTAAACCCTAAACTTTTTAAGCCAAGAGCCATATGTCAAAGTTCTTCCAAATCCACTTGTTTTGTTGCAGTTCAGGGCTTGGGCTTGGTGGTGTCTTGTGTTTCGCTTCGAAAGCTCCGAAATACGTCATGATTACGGCATCGACCCATCACGAAAGGCGCAGTCACTAGGTCTACGTGTCGTACATCCTCAACTGTATGACACCCCAAACCCGAAACTCGAAGAAGCGCCTAGTAGAAACAGAACGGTATGCTCTCTGCAGAAGCCCTCACTCACGGAAACCCTTGTAGTAACCCTCTTAGAACTTATAGACCCCAGAAACCCATATAGTACCCAAGCCAGCCCTTGCAGAACCCCCGATGGCCTTATAGAGCCCTTGATTATAGAAGCCCCCACCCCCCCTATGCCACCCAAGCCTGTCCAGGATAAAGCTTAAACCCTGAACCCCAAAAGCTTATTCCACACAAGCGTGTGCAGGATGGACTCCACCGGGAGCGTTACGTCCCGGCGTTGGTGTCCCACATCCGGGACAGCTTGCTGGTGCAAGGCCGGACGAATGGAGGTTTCCGAAAATAGGGGGTACCTTATTTGGGGGTCCTTATAATAAGGATCCTATTATTTGGGGTACTATATTAGGGTCCCCTATTTTCGGAAACCCCCGAATAGGTTCCGACACGCCTCCCTAAAAGCTTTCGGTTTCGGGGTTGAAGGTTTCAGCTTGCAGGTTCGGGGTTGGTTTAGGTTTAGGGTTTAGGGTTTAGGGTTTAGGGTTCTTCTGTTTTACAAGTGTGTTTCTCCGGGTCTCTTGGAACAAGGGTTCACAAGAGTTTAGGGCTTGGGGCGCCTTCAGGTGTTTGTAGTCTCTAGGGAATACACATTTTTCCATGAGCTCTCGTGTTAGGTAGCTGTTATTCTGAAAGTTTCGTCTGTTTTTCGAATTGCGTTTATTTTATTATGGGGGGTAGTAAACCCCAAGCCTCCGACAACGAATCGGTTCAGAGATGAGTGGGTATGCTGTTTTAGGGACTTAGGGAACCTGACAAGGGGCTTCATTATGGACTATGGTTTGGGGTTTATGGATTTTTGATTGAAAAAGGATCAGGTGGTGACTCTGCGAGTGCAGGCCATGGTAAACCACTTTCTGGCTTTCGTTGTTGAACGTAGGTTTGGTTGGGGCTTTGGAGCTTGACGCTGTAAAGCTTGTTAACTTGAGGTTTTGGTATCTTGGGGTTTCGGCCCTTTCGCCCTATATTTCCCTGTGGAATACGCGAAGTGAAGTCGTCCAATGTAACATGTCGAGGATGAAGCTGACATGTCTGCAAGATGACCCGGCTTAGGTCTTGGGACGCTGCACGAGGAGCTTCGATTCGTGGTCAAAGTGCACTTGTGACCGGTGACCGATATTCTGATTCCAACCCAGGCGGCTTGTCTTATGGCCCATTCTGTCTGTTGTAAGTAGAGTTGACAATGGATCCCTATGATAGTACCTTAAGGTCCCTTATAGTAGTCCCTATAACCCATTCCCCCATTCCCTACTAAGCACCAGACAGATTGTAGTGAGTTACGTTATGAAGTACCCCAGCCTCCAAGTCGAGTTGTCAACAGGTGTGACCGGCCGGGACTACCGGGCGGCCATGCACCGTGCCGAGTTCGCCACAGCAGAGGTGACTCAGGGTTTAGAGCTTTGTAATTCGGTGGTTCAGCGAGGCTTGGCATGTCGCTGGGTGTTCCCCTCTCCAACCCGGGTTCTTTGATTCAGAAGGCCATCAATGCAAGGTTTCCCGGGCACAGGCTTTCACCTAAGCATTGAGCTCTGAATGACAGACCCTAAACCCTAATCTAGAGCATTTTCAGGTCGGTAGTTACCCTTATAGGAGCCTTATAGAAGGTCTATGTACCTTATGGAAGCCTTATAGAAGCCCTATATACCCTAAACTCCCCACCTGTAGTTTCCTTTCAGACCCTAAACCCTAAACCCTAAATCCCTAAACCCTAAACCCTAAACCCTAAACCCTAAACTCCCCACCTGTAGTTTCCTTTAACCTAAACCCCGCAACATGAACCCTCGAACTTCAGTTGGACACCGCATTCTGGCCACGGCACCCTCAACCCCAAACCCTAATGTAGGGGCCTTAATAAAGAAAAGGGTTTTGGGGGTTCCTTAATGTTCCTTACTGTAATTATAGTAAACTTTTACCCCCGAACCCTATTCTAAATATTAAGGCCCCTACATTACCCTGAACTGTATTAACAACCGCAGAACGTTGGTAGAACCCTTAGGCAGCTTTGCCCAAATCCCCGGAGCATCAGTTCCTGTACCGTCCTCCTAGACCCTGGCTACACAAACCCATCTCCTAAACCCTAGACCCTAAGCCCACGTCGAAGCATCGAGTCGAAGGGCGCAGATCGGCTTGAAAAAGAAACCTAAACCCTAAACCCCT